TACTTTATCTTACTTTTATAATTAATTTTGTTTGAGAATGAATGAAGATGTTATGTATGAATTTGGTCCTCCTATTATTGTCTAGTCATTTATGTTTTTCTTCTTGTATAAACTAATGCATGCATCTTATTCAGATTAAAAGCTTATGAATTCAACTTAGAGAGAAGTTCATGGTGGGTTGTATCCTTCATGGCTTCATCATCTCTCTCCTTCGAGTAGGAATGTGGGAGGCCTTGGATAAAAAGGGGGTAGGATGTGTAGACACTCGCCCCTTTGCTCCTTAAGGGCTTTCCACACCCGGGTAGAGGGAAAGGGAAGATTGAGCCATGTAAGAGAGCATCCTCTTTATGACAAACCCTCATTGAATTGGAGGAAGCCATTTAGCTTTTCATTAAGATTGATTCATTTTTTTTTAGAATCTTGATTGGCATTCACAAGATAAGAAAGGGAGAGGGGTGCCTAACACCTTCCCTTTGATGCCTAGAGTCTGTTATAGGGATTGGGAATCATTTTTCTCAAACAAGGGAGGCCCATCACTCCCTCGTTCAAGTGGTCGATGGGTGGCGGCTCCTCTCATGGCCATGAAGTGACACCCAATTCCAACCGTTCACAGATTGGCGACTACACTGGGGACAACTAGGAACAGTGTGAATGCCATTTCCCTTACTCATTTCGGTTGTATCAACCAGCTTTAAGCTCTCAGTAGTTTACAGTTATTTGTTTGATTCCAAAGTGTGTTGAAGAGAACATATATATATATATATATCCCAAAGTGTGTTGAGAGTTACCTTTGATGGTGACACCCGGCATTCTTGATAAGAGAAACACTATGGTGGTAATCTTTTTTACCTATTTTAGATTTGGAATCAGCACGGGGGGAACTTCGATGGATCACTAATTCTGCTTGTATTGAATGAGATTGGTGAGATCTTGTTATTTTGCCTTGATGCTTAAAAGTTCTGATTAGGATCTCCTCTGCATTGCATCATTTTGAATCCCATATTGCTTTGTTGAGAGTACCTTTGCACGGGTTAAAAGTTGTGCTTTGAATAAATGTTGTTAAATCTTGAAGGGGCAAATGTACAGTAAAAAGCACTTTGGGGTGGGACAAGCTTCCTGGAATTAATAATTGAGTATCACCATTAGAATGTGGCTTGGGCCGAATGCCATTTGTAGAGTGTTCTTTTGTAGTGCTTATCTCCAGTGGGCTGTGTTTTTGAGTTGGTCTTCAGGTTTAGCACTACAGTGGTTAATTTAGTGTGGCTATAAACTTGGAAAGTTTCCCAACCGATTATTCTAATCACAAGTTTCAGTGGTACATGGAGGCTTGTGTTATGGTCGTGCTCAACCCAATGAAAATTGCAAGTTAAATTGTTAACATGTTCCCCTTCAGCTACACATAGAATTCAGTCAGATAAGTCTTCCCTTGTTCTGCTATCATACTCCCTCTGTCTACTGCACTTGCTGCTGCAAGGTACTGCAGCTGCCCTTCCCGTTAAGGCCTCCTCCCTCGAAATACCCTTAGGACTAGGTTGAAGTCGTGCTTGTCTTCTGTCCTTGAAAGAAGTTTTTGCATAAAAGTCTGATTTAATTTGAACTGATCTCATTTCCCTAGCCTTTTCCTTTTGGGTCCTGTTGTATCATGGTAAGCTTATTTACGAAGGGACTCATCACTACAATTGTTTTTTTTTGCTTAATTTGGGCTGCACCGGGGATTCAACTCATGTTGGTCAAGTCGCTTTATTCAGGTAGGCGCTGCACTTCTTCTCATAATGTTATGGCCTTTTGAATGGTGGGTATGTTGGATCCACTTTGGTGAGTATTGTGATTCCTAGGCATTACCAAATGATTTGCATGACAGTTTGATCGCATCAATTTTATTGTATTTGACTTCGAAGCATGAACTCCTTTTGCAAATCAATGCGATGGATGTGTGATCGACCGTTGCTTCCTCGTACTTTAGTCATGTTTATGATTCCCTTTCTTCCCTTTAGTGATTAACTAGTTTTACAATAGCCTTTTTTTTTACAAATCTGTACTTTCAGTCCCTGGTTCTTTTCTTAAGATGCTTGTACAGATATTATCACTTGGGGTGTCCAACCATCCAAAGAGGTAACATTTTCAGAATAATTACTTTAAATCTTTGGGAACTCCTGTGTCCAGGCCTGAATTTAAGTTTTTTATTGGCATCTTCAACTATCTGGGGTAGGTCCTAGGGCACCATTTAGGAGCACCCTATTCTGTTCAAGTCGTTGCTTAAGCAAGTTTCTTCAGGTCTGGGTTTGCTCTCCCATATTGATCCTGTACCTGTAATTAACCACAAATGGGTTCACCCGGCTATTAACAAAGAATCTCCAGGGTCAATCTTGGCACAAAGTATTCTCTGTCAAACCCAGTGTCTCGAGCACATTTAGGTGGTGGTAGAGACATTTTCACAATAGCAGTTCTGCCAGATTCACAAAATCTTTTTGAATTTTGAGTAGTCTGAGGAGGGAAATGCCATTGCCCTGTCTAATTCACATGCCCTTTGATTTTGTTTTTCTTTTTTATTTATCTATTACAGTTATTCATTCAATATATATATATAATGGTCAAAATATCTATTATAGTTCATTTTCCACAAATTTTTTTAGTATACTCCAAGTGGTTTTTGTATGATTTAGTTTTGTCAAAAATAAATAGTAATAAACTGGAATCAAAATGGTCTTCGCAGATTTATAGTGACCAAAACCACTAGTTTTAGATGTTTTAGTATAGTCCATCCTAGGATTTTTATTCAAAAGATAATTGAAATAAAGCTAGAGTCTTACATAAACTAAAGGTAGAGACCCCATAAGCATCCACTAAAATAAGAAAAATAAGCTGTCTGGGAGGTCTTGAAAATCTAAGCTAATAAATATTATGGTCTAGAGCCATGTTTGCTAACAAGTCAGCACACATGTTAGCTTCACGGGAACAGTGCTGAAATCAAATAAACTAGTCTCCGTTGATGAGGTTTATGACATCATTGAAGAGATTTCTATGCTTCCTGCTTTGGAGATGATATGATATTTTTTAAGGCCCATATCCCATGCCATAGAAACCCTTCTTTGATGGCCCAAAGTTCAGTCATGTTTTGTGGTGCAACCAATGTAGGAACAAAAACTTCCGATCCATTGACCATTCATTTTCAGCTTAAGAGTTGTGCTTAATTATTATATGTGGTTTGCCCAAATGAAGCATGTAACCATGTATTTTCTTCATTAGGAGGATTACCTTCGTGATAATGATGAAATTTAGGGAATTTCCAATGAGAATGTTTATGGACTATGATGATATAGCTTCATGTTTAACAGTATGTATCTATAAGCTACACCTGGTAAAGTGGAACAAAGTGTGTAACCCAAAGAAAGTGGGGGGTTTGGGGGTAAGGAAGTTGAAAAAGTTTAACTTAGCCTGTCTGGCGAAGTGGTTGTGGAGGTGGAATAGACAGCCTGATGCATTATGAAGAAGGATTATTCTAGCTAAGTATGGAGCAGATGTGTCATCTTGGGAGCCAGCAGAGGCTAGAATGTCTCATGGGCGTGCTGTGCTGTATGGAAAGGAATTCAAAAAGTGTTGGGGAATTCAGAAAAGGAATCAGATACAGGGTGGGAGACGGCACAAGAATCAAATTCTGGACTGATATTTGGTGTGGGGGTCAACCTCTTTATCAGAGCTTTCCCAATCTTTATGAGATTGCTCAAAACAAAGAATGCATGGTTGCAGAGGCTTTTGCTCGGGTAGGAGATTCTGCAGTTTGGTGTCTGGTGTTCAGAAGGAATTTAAATGATTGGGAGGTTGGGCAGTGAGTGGAGTTGATGCAGCAGCTATCTGGTATAACTCCTGGCTCCACAGACAGAGATGGGAGAATTTGGAAGTGGGATAAAGAAGGATCCTTCACGGTAAGATCATTCTATAACAAACTCACGGAGGTGGAGGTGGTGGATTTCCCAGAAGCTGTTGTATGGAAATCCACTGCCCCTCCTAAAGCTGCATTTTTATTATGGGTGGCAGTGTCGGGTAAATGTTTGACAGCTGAGATTTTGGCCAGAAGAGGGATGAGTCTGTTGCCTAGCAAGTGCATTATGTGTGGGGAAGTATCTGAGGACTTAGAGGCTAGAGAACTTACTAATCTATTGTAGAGTTGCTTTTCTCCTCTGGTCATGGTTTTTGGGGCTGTTAGTTCTGTTTCCCAGAAAATGTGCTAGCAGTTCTTCAGAGCTGGCAGCTGAAGGGGCTTTCAAAAGAAGGCAAGGTAATTTGGAGATAAGGTCCAGCTTTAGTGACCTGGACAATATGTTCAGAAAGAAACAAAAGAATGTTTGGAAATATGTTTGTTTCAGAGGATAATTTATGTAAAGGTTTCAGAGGATAATTCATGGGTATCTGTTCAGGAATAGATCTTATAGCTCCTTTTGTAATCCTGGAGCTCTTTTTGTATCTACGCTTACAGAGTAATCTTATAGCTCCTTGTTGTGCAGATTTGGCTATTGCTTTTTATCTAATATATTACTTTACCTTTTGCTCAAAAAAATTGAAGATGTATTACTGCAAACATACTTTCTCTAATTTCCTTTGATGTATATAAAGTTTTGCCACCATCCACAAAACGAAAGAGAATAAAATCGTTGATTGTACTGTACTTAATAGATTGGCATTTCTCTTTCTCAAACATTGTATGCAGATCTGGTATGCTCTGAACTGATCAGAATGATGGAACAGGGTTCATGTAGCCAGCCCCCTATAGGTTAGGCAAGGCTTTGTTGATTTGAATTGAATTCTTGTATTCACATCTGGAATCAATTGTGGAAACTGTACCTGTTAATTTGTTTCTATAACAAACTAATATGAGACAATCTTCGCTGTTGGATATTTTGATTTTGAGCCTATGAATTTGTGGTGAAGATGTTGTATAATTGCATTAGAGAATTTCACAACTCTATGATAAATAGAAAATATTGTTCTTCATGCTCTTTCAGGCCTGTTGAAGTGATAGAATCCAACACAGAGTATAGTGAAGATGATATCACGAATGAGATAGTTCAAGGGTCCTCACATTTGGGATCCTCAGTACTTGAACCTTTTAGCTTTCCTGGTCTACGTGGAGATATTGAAGCCATTGAGCGGGATGTATTTGGTAGCTTTAGCCGTTTCTTTGAGGCTGCTGAAGATATGAAGAATGGATTCTTTCGGGTCTTTGGGACTCCAAACCTTTACGACGGTGAATCCTCATCTAGCTTAAGGAAGGGGATACCAATAGAAAGTGAGCTTGAGAAGGAAGCTCCTCCTAAGCCACGAAATGATGAATCAGTTTACTCCGATTTTGCTGGACAAATTAAAGATGTTTGAAGCTCCTCTTTGATTGTTGAGTAGTGATTATATATTGCATCTTGAAAATCAAATGTAGTTTTTATTGCATAAATTGGGTCCTCACCAATGAATATTTATACCATATAATCGTTCCCCTTATTTCTCATGCTTTTTTACGTTTATAGTTTTTTTTTTTTTTTTTTTTTTTTGCTTTGTGTTATTGACCTGGCTCCTCTGCAAGCTTTAGTCTGGATGGTGACTGTTATCTTCTCTGACTGTCGAGTTAGAATTCATTAGTTGGTGTTTTCCCCCTTCTTTCAGAGGCCAACAAGATAAGTTAATCAGTCCTGCATTCTTTTTGTAGTGTCAATTTTAGAGAATTTGGATTTCAGGACAACTGGGTTATTGAGTTTGAATCGTTTGAAAAGAGGCAAAATCTCATAAAATTGTTCCGACTTCTGAGAAACCAATGACACGGGATGGGATCTGTTCACACTTCACAACAAAAACCGTCTCAACACGGTTCTGGTACAGCACCAATGACATGCCTTTTTCTTCTGCTAATAGTAAAATCTATTAAAGGAAGCAGAAAGAAAGAACAAGAAGACATAACCAAAGACCTAACAAGAAAGGTCGGATCTGCTCACAGCAAAAAATTGTGCCAAAATGATTAGTGCACATCACAGACATGGTGTGCCTCGGTCTTTGTCCAGTAATGAACACCAAATAGTAGAAGTTGGGCTTCCCACATAATTGGGTCGAAAGGTTAATTAAAAAAAATCTTGGCTGAGAAAATTAAAAGTTGTAATAAAAATGAATTTAGCAATTTATTTCAATGAAAACAAGATATCTTAAATGATTTAGGTGATACACACAGAGAGATCAAGGAGGCCCTTCACAAGCAATTGGATAAATTGCTATAAAAAGAAGAAATCTTTTAGGTTCAAAATTCAAGAATCACTTGGCTAAAATGTAGAGATAAGAATACAGAGTTTTTTTATACCACCATATTGGTTAGAAGAAACCATAATAAAATCTTTGGCATAAGAGACAAAATAATGTGGACATCAAAGGTTAACCAAGTAAAGGTTGTTTTCACCGAGACTTTATAGGAAAGATACACTTGTGATGGCACGGAAGGTAAGGAGGAATTTTTACTAGTTTTAACTCCTATAATTTAGATGAGGAAAACATAGACTAATTAGCCATGTGGATTCCTTCATAGTAAAAAAAAAAAAGGCAATGTGGGTGACTTAGAAATCATGAAGTGCTTTGAACTCTATGGGTGGGTGATATGAAGGCACAGACCTAAAGAAAATCTTCCTGGCCTCATGCCAAAGAAAAAGAAGTCAGATCCCGAAATACTTTCAGTCTATTAGCTTATGTAATGTAATTTATAAAATTATTGTGAAGATCCTAATTAATTGGTTCAAACCTTTATTGGACAAAATTAATATATCCATACCAATTGGCTTTTATCTTGGGTAGACAATTATCTGATAATAAAAAAAAAAAAGGCAATGTGGGTGACTTAGAAATCATGAAGTGCTTTGAACTCTATGGGTGGGTGATATGAAGGCACAGACCTAAAGAAAATCTTCCTGGCCTCATGCCAAAGAAAAAGAAGTCAGATCCCGTAATACTTTCAGTCTATTAGCTTATGTAATGTAATTTATAAAATTATTGTGAAGATCCTAATTAATTGGTTCAAACCTTTATTGGACAAAATTAATATATCCATACCAATTTGCTTTTATCTTGGGTAGACAATTATCTGATAATATTCTAATAGCCCATAAAATACTTCATTCCATTCAAATATTCTAATAGCCAATGAAATCCTTCATTCCATTAAATTATTCTAATAGCCCATGAAAACCTTCAGTCCATGAAAAGGAAAAAAAAATGGAAAATCGGTAGCAGTGACATATAAAATCGATATGAAAAAAGGCTATTGACAATTAGAATGGGATTGATTATAATAAACTAGTTCTAAAGAAAATGAGATTCCATAATAAGTGGATCAATTGGATAATGCAATGTATAACTACCGTTAGCTACCAAGCCATAATAATAAATGGGTCTTCAGGGCCATCATTTAAACCCTCAAGGGATATCAAACAAGGAAATCTGTTATCCCCTTACCTCTTTGTGCTATATGGTGAGTCTCTTACAAGATACATTGAAACTCAAGCAAGGGGAAATGGAGCTTATTTAGGATTCAAAATCTTGAGGAATGGCCCAAATATCCCTATCCTCTAATTTGTTGATGACTACACGATCCATGCAAAAGAAAATATAGAAATGAACCACAACATTAGGGATATACTGAGTAGATATGCCAAAGCTTTTGGTCAAAAAAATCATCCATGATATTATCAAAGAATGTCCCTTTTAGATTTGAAAGAATAGTGGCTAGAATAAATGGCATTCCAAGGGCAAATATCGAGGAGAAATATCTGGAAGCTCCCCTAATTAATAAGAGAGTAACGAAAGCCACCTTCAAAGATGTTCTAGAAAAAATTTAAAAAAAAAAAAAAAAAAACTTGAAGGTTGGAAAAGCAAGACTTTGTCCATGGGGGAAGAATAATTCTGGTCAAAGCAATTGTTGGAAACCTAGCCCAATTTCAAATGAGATTGTTTGGTATTTTGAAAGAGACAACCAAGGAAATGGATAGGTTGCAAAGATAATTTCTTTGGTGTAAAAACAAAGAAATAAATATTTTGCTCTCACAAGATGGAAACATGTCTTTTTGGACAAGAAGAGGGGAGGGCTAGGTCCGTGGAAAATGGACCAAACAAATCAAACTAACCTAATGAAATTAGGTTGGAAAATTCTAATGGACCATAATAATCTTTGGGTCCGAGTAATTCAAAATAAGTATCTAAAGCAAGAGGACTTTCTTAAGCACAATACGCCTTGGATAGGCATGGATATGGACGAAAAATTAAGATACACATGAAAATACATGAAAATGCTATAAATACTCTAATAAATCATAAATAAACACTAATATCATTAAATATAAGACTTAAATGAGCTATACATAAAAATCACGTGTTTAATAAATTTTATGAAAAAACATATTATAATCAACAAACGAGAACAAAAACGTACTATATAATAAAATACATAATTCAGTTCCAATTTCAAATTTTAAATCTATTATAATTTACAAATTCAACATTTGAATCCCAATATGATGTTTACAACATTACATAAATCACATAAAATTGGATAATTTGTATAATAATTAATTTTTAAGTGTTAATGTATTAGTAAACTAATTTTCAGTTGTTATTATGAAATATTTAAAAAAAATTAAATATTTTTTTAATTATTATCTAATACAAGTATCAAATTAAACAAATAATAATCATTTTCATACTTTTGAGAACACAATTGTATTCACATTCAAATTATAGATTATCATGTGAAATATATCAATGCATTTTATTTTGTATTTTTAAAACATTTTTAAATATTACTAAAAATTATTTTTAATCGTTTTAAACATTTTGCCAAGTGTTATCTGATCCAAATAAACAGTTAACAATTATTGAATCAAATAATTGTGTAAAATTTGTAATTATTGAATCAAACATTTTTTTTTTATTTTTAAATAATTAATTACTTTTATTCAAATAATTATTTTGCATGTTTTATTCTAAAAATTAAACAAATATTTTTTGAATGGTTTCATGGACATCCATTATTTTTATTCTAAAACTAATAATTATTTTGCATGTTCCATTCTAAAAACTAAATCATTATTTATTTTATTCAAATAATTATCATGTTTTATTCTAAAAATTAAATTAAAATTAAAAAAAAGTAAATATGTAACAGAAAAATTGAATGGATTTATGGACATAATAGATGAAATACTTAATTTGCATGTTTCATTAAAACTAAATAATTATTTATTTTTATTCAAATAATTATTTTGCATGTTTTATTCTAAAACTTAAACTAAAATTTAAAAAGTAAATATGTATTAGAAAAATTGAATGGGTTTATAGACATAATAGATCATCCATATATTTACTGTAAATATTTATTATTAAAATTTAGACCATAGCAAAAAATTATAGAAATAAATATATATATATATAATCTAAAAACAAAAAATAAAAAATAAATTAAAATTTTCACATGATATTTCAATATATTGATGTTTGTCTTAGCTCTACAACATACTCAACCTATGGGGTTAGATCACATAAAATTGAAGAAATTATCTATTATTCCAAAAATTAAAAAAATCAATTATTTAGAAGAATTTCAATTGATCTATGAACATTGTAGATCATCCATAGATCTACAACATAATCAATTTTTAGAGGTAGATCAAAAGAAAAACCTAAAATCTTCATTTCTTTCAGATTTTTTAATACTCTGAAAATTTTTCAAATATCCACAAAGATCTACATATAGGAGCAAAATAAGTGGGATTTTTGCACAAGAATAACATATCAACATATACAAAGATGTTCCTAAGCATCCAAACTAAAAAATACAAAAGCATTGGCTGCGATTATAAAAAAAATTGAAAAAAAGCATACATATTACTAAAACCAAGCTGATCCGTAGTCCCATGACATAGAATCCAAATACGAGATATAAGGGGTTGAGTACAGATGGAAAACTTACATCTGGATCTGGTTATAGTTTCATAAGAAATGAATGCATGATGGGCTGGGATTTATGTAAGTGTAACATAATAAAAAAACAAGGAAAAATCAATGTCCAGAAAAAAAATAAAAGTTTTCCTCTAGCTATTAATTTTAAACAAATTACCCACAAGAAGAAATTTAGCTGATAGGGGGATAGAAATCATTACTAGCTGCACAAAATTGTGAAGAAACTAAGAATTGTAATCATTTATTTGCAAAGTGTCATTTAGCTAAATGGTTGGGAATGCCTTTGATAGAAGAATAGGATTGTTTATGGAATATCCAGACCAGAATGTCACTTGGTGGCTAAATTGTTTAATAGAAGAGAAACTCCAGAACAAGATAAAATTGATGTTGGAATAAATAGCTTTCATCCTTTGGTACCTCTGCAAATATAGGAATCATATATACAATCTTTAACAACCATAAATTATCTCCCCAGGAAGCTAAGTAATATCCAAAGTGCTGATGAGATTGGAGAAGTATATAAATGCCAAGACCACTCCTTTAGACATTGAAAGCAAACCCTCAAAAAACCATAGGGTTAAGTAGATTCCCATAGTCCAAGAGAGTTAAACTTTGATACTTCAACAAA